GCAAAAAAGCTCGACAAAGGGAGACTTCGACGGGTTTATTCGTTCGGCGGCGTAGTGGACACGAATGTCGCAGGAGACGGTTTGTTCGCTGCGCCCGGTCGCGTCTCGGTCGATCGGGCCGCGTCTTCGTTTAAATTGCTTGATTGTTGGTTGCTACGATACGAATTTTGCGCGTTACGATTTTGAAACGGCCTTCCGCGCCACGACGGCCTTCCTCTCGTCGGTCCGTTGTCATAGTTGTTTCCAGCAGAGTTCGATGGGCAGAATCTTGCGATGTGTCCTGGAAGGTAACACCGATAACAAGTGCGCTCCCCTCGCCTTTCCCTATCATAAGTTGGAGTAGCGTCTGCTGACAATGAGCCTCCGTTTCCTCCCTCGGCCTGCTTTGAATTGCTGCCCGGCGCGCCTCCCGAGTTTTGATTTCGATCGCAGCGCGGCGAGTCTGCACGCACCTGATTAGCTACGTAGGCTACTTGGTACGCACTTTTCCTGTTGTTGAAGGGCCTGTTCGCCCCGTTCTGCTCCTTTAGCGCTTCTTTCTGTTGAATCTTCATCTCGGCCTCAATAGCAGCGCAGATCGCTCCTTCCAAGGTACTTGGTTTCTTAGCCTCAACTCTAGTCGTACAATCGTTTCTCCAAATGCCCATTATGAAGCTATCGCGTGCTGTGTCCTGCGCGCATTGTATGATCGCGGCGGCGCCATCCGGGTAGGTGTACCGCGCCACACGGATGAGCTTGTTTAACAGAAGGCTAACGCGCGTACCGTAATCTCGCATCGACTCGCCCTGCTTTTGTATTACTCGATTGAGCTGAGCATTCAGATCTGAAAAGCTTTCCGGCGGACGATATCTATCCTTGAGTGCACTTAGAAAACTCGTTAAGTCGCTATGTTTTGTTGCTAACAGATAATTTTTTGCATCCCCTTCGCATTTGTTACGCATCATCTGCAAAAAGAGCGAACGTGCACGCGGCTCAACAAACCCGTTGGCTTCCTCGCACTTCTCCGCAAACCCCTCGACGCAATCACCCTCCCCCTTGAACACCGGTATGAGAGTTAATGCAGTCTTAGGTTCGACGTAGTAAGGCCTGGCTTCGCTACCGCTGTAGCCTGCTCGCGCTTCGTAGTGAGTGGGAGAGGCAACCATAATCTCGTTAGGGATTACCCGAGGTAAGCTCAATGTTCCCGCGTTCATCGTGTTTGGAACTAACGGCAGATTTTCTGAATCGCTATCGTCTGCGCCCGAGTTCTCAGCGTCCATATCGATACTTTCAATGTTTACGGTTCGTACCGCCGATCTACTAGTCGTTTTTCCACGGCCCCTACCTCGACTCACCTGCCCTCCGCGAACTCGTGCTTCGCCCACATTACCCGCGCCATCACTCCTTTGGGCGAGGGTGGTTGCGCTCCTAGTGCTTCTTTTAGCAGGCGGGCCACCGGCTGCACCGCGGTTGCTACGTTTACCGCGCCCCGACATTATCGTGTTTTACAGCAAGGGGAGTGAGATTAGGCCAAACGAAAGCAATACTTAAGGGACACCGGTTTGAAATCAGATGAGTATGAATCCGTATACACCACTAATAGCATTAATTATAGAACATTCAGCTTGTGTTCGTTTGAATTTCAGATACCGATAAGAAGACTTAACAGCTGACAACTAGAGCAATATGGATCGCAGAAAATCTAAACAAATCATCTACACTTTCCGGCAAATTTCCGGTAATTTTTTTTTTTTTTTTTTTTTTTTTTTTTTTTTTTTTTTTTTTTTGAAAAATTGAAAAATGATTTGAAAATTTGAAAAGCTAGTCAACTACTTGACTAATTTTATTTATAAAATATTATTAATAAAAAGAACGATTATTATTGTTAATTAAATCAGTATAAGTACAAAATTGAATCTTATTATCAAGTTTAATATCAACGCAAATTTCGAATATTGAATCAATAATAAATATAAAAAAAAATGTTGAATATATCGTACACTGTTAGCGCAAGTTGATGTAAGACTACTAAAAGCAAACTATACTAAATACATTATTCATACATTATAGAAATTCTTACTTCTAAAATAACTGATTATATTTTCCCACGATATCGCGATGGTCACTTGAAAACGGTAATTGCAACAAAACTTACAATGCTGGTGAGGACAGCCGCAGCCTGCGATTTTTGAGCAAGAAGCCGTGGCGTGGCCACAAAAATCGCCTACCCTGGTATTCACCCTGTACTCCACGGGAAACACGCCTAAAACCGGGGAGAGGGCAGTTGGCACTCGTGCACAAAATTGCACGCTCACTCACAGTCAATGTGCACTATAATATAACGCAGTCAAAGTTTATATGCACAGATCACGTACAGTCACAATTACACACACAAATCTTGATATTTCTATGTAGCGTATCCTGGCCAGTGCATCTGGAGGACTCTTCTTTCCTTTTGAAAACTTGTAATCTCAAAGATACTTGCTATAGATGTTGATAGCGTATGATCTATTACTGGTTTATATTTTATTTTTGTTAAAATTTCGTATCCCACCGCTGCCACCAGTGTAACATCCCCACCCTTGCCGTTGGCGCGAACAAGGAATAATTTGTATTTAGTTGTAAGCGCGGGATGAATTTGAACGTGACTCGATAAATAAGGAATGAGAGCGTTCATTGACCGACTTTATAATTTGGGTAGCGTGGAAAATTCAAATGAAAAGAGAGATCAGTGATACTTCAAACTGCCAATTGCTTTTAATGATGTAGAATACAAGAAAAATGTCACAAGTTTCTCTCGTGAGGGCTCTGCTCTGACTGACTTGTCGTTGTCCTGGAGCGTCCTCCTCGGCGCTCCCCTCTGTCACTCCCAAAGGGGTAGGTTTAGCATCAACACCTCCAAAGAGAGGGAGGAGTAAGAGTTTTTTCGGCATCCAGTCATTTGATGAAGTGGGCGTCATCCTTTCTTCGAGAAAGGCCTCGAAGAAAGGATGCAGTAAAAAGGGAAAGTTTTCGCGGCACGTTCGGACCTACGTGCTTCATCCTTTATTGCCGGTTTAGAGCATTTTTTCTGCTGTTTGCTCCGATGCCAATCTTGCGCTCGCAATTTGTCCAGGTGAGCAACATGTGTAGCGCAGACGTCGGCGCGCTCGAGTAGATGCCGTAGTCGAGATTTATTGTAGTGCAATAAATCTTTCTTTATTCGTTTGTTTTTTTTTTTTTTTTTCCCTTTGAATATTCGTAGTAAGAGTTGCATTTTCAAGTGACCATTTACACGTTTTCGCTTATATTATCGACGTTCATAAATCTCGCGGGTGTACATATGCTGTTTGCGCTTGCGCCTTATTTCATACCTGTCATATACATATGTTATAGACGCAACGTGACGTGTCCGTTCGTCACAATAGAGATACAGCCACAAGTGTACAGCAGACCTAGATGCGTTACGAATAGGAAAAAAATAAGTTTAGGATAGGTGACCGAACGCTCATCCCTACTCCCTGGTCATTCAATTCAAGTCAGCCGCCGTCGCGAGTACATAGTATTGGGCAGCACTTGCAGTCTTGCACTTCTATCTAATCTAATCTTCAAGCAACACCCACTTACGAAAGTATTTTCTACAGTATTCTTTTGCAAACTTTGTAACTAATTCGACTCTTCCACCTTCAGTTCTATACTAAAGTGTAAGTACTAAGTGTTCACTAAATTTTTTTACAAGTTTCAATAAAACCGGTGTTCACTCATGAGATTTGGCAAACGTTAAGTTAAGGTCACAAAGTGCCGGTACGTCGTCTAACGATCGTCATTAAATATCGCACCAAATACTCTTACACAAAGATTCAATATATATTCCACGCTATAGATAGCGTATTTGTAGAGAAAAAATGTAGCGTTGCGGCGTGCAGATTGAAATAATTGAATGTCGACATCCGTATAATTGACAGTTACCGACTGTCAATTAATATAACATATATTCACGCAAGCACTTTCCGCTCTCGATGCAATTGCAAGTCAAATTGTCTAACGGCTCTTATTCTCTCGCGTAATTTCTGCAGATTCTTGAAAAATGCCATCCTACAAGCTGACTTACTTCCCCGTAAAGGCTCTTGCCGAGCCCATTAGATTCATCTTCAGCTATGCCGGAGTTGACTTTGTCGACGATCGTTTCGACCGTGAGGATTGGCTAAACATCAAGCCGAGTAAGTAATTAACGACGCTAATAAAAGAGCTCTATTTGGTATAATACAATTAATTGCACGCCTACTGCGTGTTTAATTTGCCGTAGCTACTCCATTTGGTCAGGTGCCGGTATTGGATGTCGATGGCAAAAAGGTCAATCAGTCGACGGCGATTGCACGTTATCTGGCCAAACAGCACGGTCTTGCCGGCAAAGATGATTGGGAAAACTTACAAATTGATGCTACCGTCGATACCATTCATGATCTTCGTGCTAGTGCGTTTTCGTTTGTCATGTTAATTTTCAATAAAAATCTCATCATTAACTATGGTAAAAATATGGATATTTGCAGAAATTGCTGCACACCACTATGAAAACCAACCTGAAGCAAAGGCCCAAAAATTAGAGGCAGCTAGTGAACTTGTACCTTTTTACATTGAACGCTTGGATCAGCAGGTCAAAAATAATGGCGGCTACTTTGTCGGCGGCAAATTAACCTGGGCGGATATAACTTTTGTTGCATTGTTGGATTACTTGAATTTTATGGCCCAATACGACATCATTAAGAAAGCTGAAAACTTAAAGGCACTCAGGGAAAAAGTATTATCACAACCCGGTATCAAATCTTGGGTTCAGAAACGACCGGATACTGAAATGTAATTGATTACTCATAAAGAAAAATAAAAAATATTTTTATTCTTTCAGAAATTTTTTCAATACAATAAATAAACATAATAAAAATAATTGTTTTCAAATTTATTACCTTCGAGAAGTCAGTTGATAATCAAATTGCGCTCTAATACAAGGTAGCGATCACAGCGCTTTTAGTTTGTTTGCGCGGGAATACACGGGAAACGTTCCATTGTTGCCGCAAATGTGATTATATTTAGTAATCAAGTGAAATTTAATAAAATCAAAGTTAGTTAGCAGTTTTAAATACACAAATCTTAACTTTTATTGTAAAAATTTGTTACAGTGATATTTATTGTGTAATTTAGAGGTTTTATTTCGTTAAGAAAGTGAAAATGTCGAGTCCCATGCGAGCACCGCGTACCCCGACTAGGGATAGAACTCCAAGGACTCCTAGAACTAGGACTTCAAGACAAGTAGATGAATCATCTCCAAGCACACAGAATTCAGTTAACGGGGTAACTAATGGAACACCCACTCGAAATGGTACTCCTAGCAGGAGACAAGGTATTAAGCTACTCAATAGGTTTAATCTATAAAAAGTGTATGCAACTCGACGAATAAGTTCTTGAATTCTATAGAAATGACTTAATTATTAGGGATTGCCGGTTCCTCTGATACCCCTCTTAGGTGGGGTGCCAATCGACGAACCCAAGAAACAATTGCTGCTTCTTCCGAAGGACCATCCTCTGTTCCTCCAGCTTCATCACCAAATCGAATCCTAATGACAAGTCCACTGCCTCAAGGAATGACAGAGATAGATTTATCTTCTCCTTTAAATTATGGTACACCTAGCTCTATAGGCTCCATTCGAACTCCAAGAAGTGGCATCAGGGGTACACCAGTTCGTCAAAGGCCTGACATAAGAATTGATAAAAGAGTGAGACAGCTCAATGTTGGGTCCAGTGTAAGTCGGAAAAAGCTTCAAATTTTAATTTATAAACATTATTTATGATTAAAAAGGTAATAAATACTAAATTGTACAATGGTAGATTCCAGAAGAAGTAGGCGTTGCTCCTATATCATCAGAGAATGAAAATTTGGCTGGGCCTCAACTTGTCATCTGGGGAACTGATGTTAATGTTAGTCGTGTTAAAGACCAATTCAAAAGATTTATTCAGCGTTTCATTGATCCAGATGCAGAAAATGATGAATTACCAGAAAGTTTAAACGTTTCTGAGCCACTGTACATGCAAAAACTTCATGAAATCAATACTTTGGAAGAACCATACATGAACATAAATTGTGCCCACTTGCAAGCCTTTGATGATGATCTGTCTAAGCAGTTAATCTGTTATCCTCAAGAAGTTATACCAGCAATGGATATGGCTGTCAATGAAATGTTCTTTGAAATTTATCCAGCAGCTGTATTAGAACATCAAATACAAGTACGGCCATTTAATGCTGCTAGAACCAAAAGTATGAGATTGCTGAATCCTGGAGATATTGATCAGTTGATAACTATCACTGGAATGGTTATCAGAACTTCCACTATTTTACCAGAAATGCGAGAAGCTTTTTTCAAATGCATCATTTGCTCATTTGTTAGTATGGTTGAGCTTGATAGAGGTCGTATTAGTGAACCAACAGTTTGCACTAATTGTAACAATAATTACTGCTTCTCTTTGGTACACAATCGCTGTCACTTCTCAGATAAACAAATGATAAAGTTGCAAGAGTCTCCAGATGATATGCCTGCTGGACAAACACCTTATACTATCATAATGCTTGCCTATAATGATTTAGTTGATGCAGTAACTGCTGGTGACAGGGTTGCAGTTACTGGAATATATCGAGCTTCTCCAATTCAATGTAATCCAAGAACATCAAATCTTCGTGCAGTTTATAAAACACACATTGATGTAGTTCACTTTAGAAAGCAAGACTCAAAGAGGTAAATAATGGAAAAATTATTAAAATTGACTTTTGTTCTACATGTTTACTCTATTGGTATATTTATATGCAGGTTGTATGATATGGAAGATGGCAAAGAGCATGTCTTTCCTCCTGAGAGACTCGAAGTACTGAAAACTTTGTCAACAATGCGAGATATTTATGATCGACTTGCAAGGCAAATGGCACCCAGCATTTATGAAAATGAAGATATTAAAAAGGGAATTTTATTGCAATTACTTGGAGGTACCAAGAAAACTCATACCTCATCTGGTAGAACACATTTTAGATCAGAGATTAACATTCTGCTTTGTGGTGATCCTGGTACCAGCAAATCTCAGCTGTTACAGTTTGTTTATAATTTAGTACCTCGCTCTCAGTACAGTAGCGGAAAAGGTATCTTTTATTTAAAAAATAAAAGTGCTATTGCTGTATAAAACCAACTTTCAAATTTAAAACTTAAATAATTGACCTAATTCAAATTCCAGGATCCAGTGCTGTTGGTTTAACTGCTTATGTAACAAAAGATTCTGAAACCAAACAGTTAATTTTAGAAACTGGGGCGTTAGTATTGGCCGACAATGGAATATGTTGTATAGATGAATTTGATAAAATGAACGACAGTACACGATCTGTACTCCACGAAGTTATGGAACAGCAAACTTTAAGTATAGCTAAAGCGGGAATTATTTGCCAGCTCAATGCTAGAACAAGTATCTTAGCTGCTGCAAATCCATGTGAATCTCAATGGAATAAAGATAAAAATGTAAGCATAGAAAAATGCACAAATTCAATATTAAAATTAATTAACAATAATAACATGATCCGCCGCTTTTATTCAGGTTGTCGATAATGTTCAGCTTCCACATACGCTCATGTCGCGATTTGATTTGATCTTCTTGATGTTAGATCAGCAAGATGACAAATTTGATAGAAAGCTTGCCAAGCATCTCGTATCCCTATATTGGAAAAATGAGCTTGAGGACGAAGATGAAGTGATTGACTTAAGCATTTTACGTGACTACATTGCCTATGCTAAAGAAAACATTCACCCCACACTAGGTGAAGAGGCTCAACAACGATTAGTCCAATGCTATGTAGATATGCGACGTATCGGAAGTGGTCGCGGACAAATTACTGCATATCCTCGTCAACTTGAATCGCTTATACGTTTGTCTGAAGCTCATGCTAAAATTCGTTTTAGTCCAGTAGTTGAAGTTGAAGATGTCGAGGAAGCTTACAGGTATGTTTAATGATATTTTTCTGCTAACGGTTGGATGCCATTATTTTTTCTTACGAAAATTTAATTAACAAATTTATTCATGTAGATTACATCGCGAAGCTTTAAAACAGTCCGCAGTTGATCCGCAGAGCGGAAAAATAGATATTGATATTTTAACCACCGGTATGTCAGTGTCTGAAAGACAACGAAATTCTCATATTAAAGAGTTGTTGTGGAAGTATATCGAATCCAAAGGAAAAGTGCCTACACTTAATTATCAGAAACTGTTATCTGAATTTAAAGAGAATACTACAGAGTTTGTAAGTATAGATTTTATATTAAACACACTACATCTTTGTACTAAATAAATAAATCAAAATATTAATAATTTCAGTTGATAACTCGAAGTAAATTTGAGGATGCTCTCAGAAATTTGCAAGATGATGGAAAACTCATAGTTATGAGTAAAAATACAATTAAGATTATTTCTAAAGTGTAATTTTCTTTTATAAAAGTTAATGTTTAATGTTTTAAATTTACGGACTTATTACAGCTATATTAGTGTAACAAAATATGATTATTTATTTATCTATATACAATTTACACCTTAATGATTGCAAGTACCTTTTTATATGTTAAAATAAAACGAATCTTCTTTTTTGACTCGTATATGTTTATATAAGCAATTAAATGAAAAGTCAACATTTTGACAAATTTTTTATATCTTACGTAATTATTGACTTTAAAATATACGATAATTTAATAAATTCCTTCGTAAGATTAAATATAAATTAAAGTTAAGTTAATTACCAACTTAATTAATTTGTAGTTAAATAATCATTCAATTTTT